AAAATGATTTTCAATGGGAGTTGAATAATTTTTAATTACAACTTTCTTTGTTTTACATAACTTATGTTGCCAAAACATCGTGTTTGTTTGTTTTTTTGCCCATTTCTTTTTTTACTGAACTGCAGACACGTGAAGCGACAAGCAAGAGTAACTTGTTGCAGTCGGCCCCCCATTTTTTTTTATTTTTTTTTCAGGCCTACCAGTTTGTTGGTTTTGGCACACCACAACTGACTTGCTACTTTTAGTATAGCTAAAGGTCCTCGACCTTTGAATGTATAGTTTAAACTTCTTGTATGTCTCCGACCATAAATGAGTGTATATAATCTATATTTACATTTATAATATTGTTTTATTATTATCAATATAATATATACACAGACTTTTGTTACTTGTGGTTTTGGCGTTTTTGTTTTCCTTAAACGCACGAGGCATGCAAAATTTGTATTGTTTATAAGATGCTAACTGTTTATAAAGATATGTGGTTCTAGTTAACACCCGTATTCTTAATTTTCTTCTCACTAGCAAGGGTGTGGTAGATTCTGATATCAATTTAATGTTTAAATATGAAACATTGATTTTTGCTTCCTCAGCCAGTCAACCTGAAATATCAGAATTCATATACTGTTTGATACAGAGGTTGTTGTGGTATTTTTTAATTTTATTTTTAAGGAGAGATCCATCGGATTAGGCGGTTTCTCTGGAAGCATCTCTACGTATTTATATATTGACAAACTTTGTTTCTTTGGTGTATTCCCCCAGTAGAGGGTTGGAAACCTTCTGCACTCCAGATGTGGACCCCATCTTCCCAGATGATTTGTCAGCTTTATGGCTGTAAGAGCATTATGGTAGATTTACTCCGCAACATTAGTTATGAAGATCGTTAAAGGAGCAGTATAGGGTCTGGAGCACAAACCTGTATATCTGACCCTATAGTGTTAAAACCACCATCTGGCCCCCTCTTGCGTTCCTAAATATAGTAAAATCTTACTTGTATTCAAGTCTGCAACTGCTGCTTCAGGCCCTGTCTGCTGACATCATCAAAAGTGGTGGTTTGAGCCAATCACAATGCTTCCCTCTTAGGATTGGGATTGTCAAGGAGGCAGACCAGGGGCAGAGCCATGCACAAGTCAAACACAGTCCTGGCCAATCAACATCTCCTCATAGAGATGAATTGAATGAATGCATCTCTATGAGGAAAGGTCTGAGTCTGCATGCAGAGGGAGCAGATAGTAAATGGTATTGCTGCACATTAGGCAGGACTACTTAAGGAAGCACCTTGAGCAGACATCTGAGGAGTGGCCAGTGGCGTTACGAATGTTGCCTACCTCATACCAAGTAATTTATCGTTTTGCAGTGTTTAGCATGCATAGAGACAAGTGGGGCTAGAAATCTTTTTTAGTTGTTTTTGCTATTGTTTGGGAATACATTCACAAGTATCTGGTCCTCCTTAAGCCACATTTTTACCATCAACACTTTTGATGGTTATCTTTAACTGGCTGCTTAGAGGTTGCGAGTCTGAATGTTTTTCTCATTCTAGAACTGAAATCCATGTAGTGTGTCCAATCTCTCCTCCCACTTCTTGGCTACTGGAGTGAAAGCCATCTTTAGCCTAGTAAGGCGTCTGTACATGACAGAGCTGATGTTTACCATTCCTCTTCAGAGATGCAAATGGACCCCCTATCCCTCTGGTTCCCTTGTAGCTTACACATAGTAGGGCTAAAGGAGAACTCTGTGAGCCAGCAGGTATTGCAGGTTAGCAATATAAATTCCACACCCCTGTAAATGTGAGAAATGTTAAATAAAATGAACTTGCTTATTGCAGGCCTTACTAAAGTTTGCTTTGCTTATTGCTTTTATTGTATGTGTAAGCTTGTTCTAAAGTAGTTCTAAACCGTTTTATGGGATATGAATACTATATAACTCTCAAACGCCAATTTATATGTTAACTATCCATTTCTAAGAATTTTCCCATTTTGTGACGGCCTTATAGATTAAAGGGAAAACTAAATGTCAGTTTGTTTTTCTCAGGCATCGTTATATGTAAGGTAAAGCGGGCACTTAATTTACCTGTATTTGACTGATTTTCCACTTTGTGTTGTTTTGCAGATAGTGATGAAAACTTGCATCTCCCCCGTGTGCTATTCCGTTTCTGGCAGCCACTGCTCAAGGTCTTGCATGCTCAGGCATTTACGCAGGAATTATTGGAGAAAATGTTCTCTGAATTAGGTCATTGCTCGGAGACTGATAATGACTTTAGAGCCCACTATCTTAGCTGTTGGATATCAGAGATCTTGACAGCCAATCAAAGAGCTGGTAGGTTTGGGGAATTGGCAACATACATTCTGAGGAAGATGAGCCTCAAATGTGAATGAAAAGCTCAATTTAATAAATTGCCAGCAACTGTTCATTTTGTTTGACATGCCTGTTGGATTGGTGCATGAAAGCACCTCATAAAAGAAAAGGTGCCTGAAAGAGTTTTGTGAAATAGCCAAACCTAGATAAATGTATTTCTAAAAAAAAAAACCATAAAAATATAAAGTGCAATAATATATGTACTAAAAAAAAAATAACCCATCCCAAGATGGCAACTTAAAAAAGGAGAGTGGATGTGTGCCTCTTGGACAATCACTCTGGGAGGGGAACCTTAGATCCTGTAACCGGCAGATCCAAAATCAGGACAAGGATGGAGATGAGTCAGATATACAGAGATATTGGTGATATTTTTTTTAAAGATTATAAACTTTAAAAACATCAGCACTGGAGTTCTTTATCAATAAGTGGACTGAGGATTCAACTTCTTAGTCCAGGCTTCCTCAAACTTTGGCTCTCTAGATGTTGCTGAACTACTACTCCTATGATTCTATGAATGAAATAGACTGTCTGAGAATCATGGGAGTTGTAGTTCAGCAACATCTGGAGGGCTGGAATTTGGGAAGCATGTCTTAGTCTCTTCTGGATTCATGACATCACATGATGATGTGTTTCACCCCTCCCATTTGGGCTTTGTTTATATATTGGCAATATCTCTGGATACCTGGCAGTCGTCTCCATCTCCAAAGTTCTCAAGGCACTGAATGTCTAAGCTGCACACAGCCACTCTCCCTTTGTAAAGATGCCATAATTGGGTGGGATTTTTAAAGCATATATTTTTAATAACATGCAATATATTACTGTATTTGTTTTTATCCTTTCAGGAATTTACATCCGTCTGGCTAGAATTATTTCAAAAAATTCTTCTATGGACATTTTATTTTTTGAGGTGCCATCATTAAAGGGAATTATGTCGTTTATGGGATTTTGTTTAAATTCTATAACTTCATGGAATGCACCTTTTAAAGTACATATTGTCTACATGTGTTGCCTCCCTTCTAGTGCTGTGAAAGAATACTTCGTCTATATTAGTTTAAAATTTTTGTTTAAATTATTATTTTTCCTCAAACAGAGAGAAAATGCGTCATTCCCTCTCGCAATCAGGCAGCAGTGAAAAGCAAATGGAAACTGTTTGCTCACCGGGTGGGTTTGCAGTGGAAAAAATTAATGCAGAAATGCCTTGAGTCTCCGTGCCAAGCGACTCCAGACCTCTTAAGACTGTAAGTAAGCCCTGCATATTGCAAAAACTGAGAATCAACACTATGTAACCAAGTCAACTATACAGAACTGGAAAAGAGTTGGGAGTAAAACTGGTCTCCTTAATTGTCAATATTATGGAAACCATGCATGGGCAGGCTGCAAAAAGAATTGGGTAAATGGGAGGTTTTAGTTATGGGGAAGGGCTAGAATATTTGAACTTGTTTACGTGAAATAAATAAAACACTTTTCAGGAGGATATGATCTATTTACACACCAGTAGCCCAAAACCACTCCCTGTTCATTCATAGGACTGTACAACTGCAAGAAATAAAACATGAAAGCTCAAAGAATGGAATTTTTTTTCATGTGGCAGTAGAATTCTTTTCAGTAAGCACAATAAAGATGTTGATGCCTAAAGTGGTGGTGATATCGGCTTTGTGTAGTTTTTTTTGTTTTTTTTGTTTGTTTGATTGGGGGGAAAAAAACAGGAATATTCAAGGATTTAATAGTTAATATGTGGGTTATAACTCTTGGCTCTGAAAGACAAACCATTGCCATTTTGGGGTCAAGAAATAATATTTTCCTGTTTTGTTACAGAATTGGAATATACAAATTTATTATTTTTTGTCTTATTTTTAGATTGACCGAATAAATTAATTTTTTTTTCCCCAGCTTATTTTTTACTATGCCTTTTAGGTTTACTAAACCTAGTTAAAATAATGCATCTGTGATGTTTGAACAGAGGAAGACTTCTTAAAACCATATGCTAACAGGATTATTCACTAAACTAAGAATTGTGGAGCATCAGCAATATAATAGCAAATTTTAGATTAGAGCAGTCAAATTAGAAACACTCTTCAATATGACTGAGCTCACCTATCTCAACTTTTTCTTGCCAACTATTTAACGTTCCTAGGTTAGTAAATTATTTTACTTGTATTTAGAACAAACAAATTACTGTAGGTTGTATACAAAATATGTCCTGGTTTTTAATTTATTTTTACCTCATTGCACATTAAAGGGAGTTTCTCTAGACTCTGAATAAATATTCCCTTATTAATGCGTTAAAAAATAAAATATCTAAAAAAATTTTTTAAAGAAACGAAGATGTTCAGTATTTTCGCTTCTGCAATGCGCTTACAAAATGAGTGAAAACACTCAAATGTTGTTTATGTTGTGATCTACCCCAAAATTCTTTGTTCTCTTTTTACATGCAGCTCATCCTGTCTAGCTGACATAGTTTATATGCATCATTGAGTGTCACAGTCTCCTTCAATCCGCGTTGTGGAATGTCTTTGAGAGTGTTGAGCATATTTCATCATATATACACCAAGAAGCAGCGATTTGTGTTCTTCTAAAATCTTAGAACAGATTCCATAGACACTGCATTATATAACTTTACAAGATTATATTGCAGTCAAGCAACAGTGCACGGTCTACTGATGATTAATTTTATGATCCTGAAAATAACACCAATGTATACTTTAAAGGAAATAATTGATGAATCTTTTGAAGCAGACACACATCTTCTTAATTTTTTTTTCTTTAGGATCTTTGCATATATGAAGCCCAGTCTATCTTCTAACACCCAGGAGAAGCTTCTGTGTCTCTGCTCTATCTATGTTCAGGATGATGACTCTGATGTATCTGTGGACTACAGTGACCAGCCCATTTACACGGTGGAAAGCCTGGAGTGGAAAATAAGGCAGGAATCCAAGAGCAGAGGTTTTAATTCATGGGCGAGACCAGCAATGGAAGAAGAGGAAGAACCGGACACTAGTGAGCACACAGAGGATGAAGAGATGATTACTGAAGAGTCCTATGAGGAAGAATACATTCAAATAATAAATGCAAAGATGGCTAAAGAGCAGAAAACGGCATTACAGGGCTCTGCATGGAGTGTTAGTGCAGGTATAAGCAGTTTATCTAAATTTCTATTGTGAGGTTAAATTCTTTTAAAGAACTATTGTTACTTTAATGAAATGCCTTTGTCACACCATCTAGGCTGCCATTCAGACAGCTGGGAGGATTTCCTACATAATCGCCTTTTTAAAGGATCACTATAGTGTCAGGAAAACAAACTCCTTTTCCTGACACCATATAATCCTTAGGTCTCCCCCTCCCACTGGGCTGAAGGGGTTAAAACCCCTCAAGCCACTTACCTTTATCCAGCACGGGCTCCCTTGGCGTTGGTGACCTCTCCTCCCCCTCTGACGTCAGCTCCTGAGTGGAGCCGAATGCACATGCGCGGCCAGAGCATTTAAACGCCCAAAAACGTACGACTTTGTGTGATCAATGCGATTTTCGCATTGAGCATCACAGAAGTGCCCTGGAGGCTGTCTTCCTGAAACTGCTATGTTTACAGCTGCAGGGTTAAAACCTGGGGGACCTGGCACCCAGACCACTTCATTGAGCCGAAGTGGTCTGGGTGACTATAGTGGTCCTTTAAGTATATTTCACAGTGGATGTCAGTGGTTGCACCAATCTCTGTGCCTGCCCTTCGTATATTTCTGAGTGAGGTGTACATGTATTATAGCTCAGTGACGCGTATGATTGGCCAGTAGCACACATGCAGGATTTGGCTTCTGACTGGACAGTGTCCAGCATAGATTCGAAAGGCGCTGCTGGATAAAAAAATGACAGGGCACACAGCAGCTGCACAAACTAGTTCTGCAGTAAATCTAAGCTAGCTTTCTTATATAAATCAATGCAATGCATTTTGCCACTACATCTACTGTATGGTTAAAAAAAAGTGTGTGTGTGTGTGTGTGTGTGTGTGTGTGTGTGTGTGTGTATATATATATAGGTATATATACACACACATTTGTGTCTCTTTAAAAACAATATGGCATGTCGTGAAACTTGACATGACGTTGAACATAAAATACAATAACCGTACAGCTCTGCCATTAACAATTTATAGTCTAGGTCTGGGAGGAGGTTGGGGGGGGAAATGGATGCTGAAGATCAAGATTGGTTAGAGGTGAAATGTTTTAAATCCAATGGAGATGAAATGTGTAAGAACTATTGTCATTCTCCATTGACCAATGTTTCAGGTGACTGTTCTGTATTATATCATGGGCATACATGTTTTATAACTCTTGTTTAATATTTTGCTCACCAGGACAATAATGTAATGTACCCAATGTTATTAAACCTAGGAGATAAAGATTCTTTGTTTTTGTCTTTCAGATAATGTGAAGTGGGGTGAGTATCCTCTTGGTGTTGTTCCGGGACAGATTGATGATCCAGGCTGCCTTATGATTGAGCGCTACTCTATCATGTCTGTGCTTGAACAGCAGGATGCAGAGGGAAAGCAGAATGGACATGCTGACGCCACAAGGTAAATATTGAATCTCAACTGAAATAGTTTGTGTTGCAAAATTGTGAATTAAATTGTAATACCAGGAAGTAAGCCAGCAGTTTCCATGTTTAGATGCAGTCTAGGCAAACAACTCTTTCAGAGCATGGCAAATAAAGCCTGGTTTGCCAACCAGCAAAGCGGATATTTGTCTACAGATGGCTAATCTTACCACAAATGTGCATTTTTTTTAATTTTTTTTTCCCTTTTCAGATATGTTTGCATGGTAAATGAGAAATCTACACCCAGAAGAGGTTTTTTTTTTAAGGCTTTTGATAAGTAACTCTAGACCTGTAGCAAATTGACTAGAATTCAGAGTTCTAGTTCCAACAATACATTTAGCAATTTATTTGAGGGGTTTGTGGTGTTAGGGTTTTTTTTTTCTTCTTACGATTCCAGAGGTGAAATAAGTGAATTCAAGCCACACTGTACCATAGCTAGACAAAGAAAAAATCCTGCTGTATCTGGAATATCTTTGAACCGTAAAAGCTGTAATAGACCATAAAAGAAAGGGTGACGATTAGGAAAAGGGGGAGAAAAGGGAAGTCTGGGCTCATAAAATTGGGGATCCCGATAGTAGCTCTGCATACACAGAAAAAAAAGTACGTAGCAACTAGTTAATAGGAAAGGTGGGGGCACACATACAGGAATGGAAAAGGTGAGAAAAGAATGGGCAAAAAAGACGCCCTATCTAAACCATTTGAAACTGTCTGAGAAGAGAGTCCTTAAAATAGCAAAATAGTAAGAGATAGGGAGGAGGAGGAATATAACAGTCCAAAAAGCATTTCCCAATGTAGATACTAAGGTCCCCTATAACTCAAAGTAACTCAGGTTGAATGGACTAATGGAGGTTACTACCTCACAGAAAGAAAAGAGAGAGTGCCCACACTACGAACAGAAAGACAGGTGAGCTGTAATGCTAGGTGGATGAGTCTTCAGGGGTGAGCAAACCCAACCCCTAAGCTGAGACCAGACCACCCCAACAAACCTGACACTGTCCAAGCACCAAAACCTAAATAAACGAACTTAATTAAACCATACTAACTACCTAAGTGCTACCTAGTGCAGAATAATAAAATAAAGAGACGCTCAACTCTCGTTTCGGCGTAAATATACACCGTCGTCAGGAGCTATTAAGTTGCATGTCCCACTCTCGGATTTAAATACTTCCATTTGAGAGAAAGCTGATCCGACATGCTGGGAGGGGGGGAAGTGAGTGATGGCAAGTCGCCACTCCCCCTGCTCAACGTCTCGTCAGTTGGCCCACAGCCATTGGATTAGAGCCATGCCTGTCCTGCAAGCTGGGAGTGGGGAGGCAAGTGGCGTGGTATCGCCACACCCCCTACCCGATGTCACGTCAATTAGCGAACGCTAGACCGATCGATGCAGGGGGGTGGCAGCTAGGCACACCTTCTTCTGACATTGCGGCTAGCAAAAGAATGATTAACGGGTGACGAAATTTATCGTCACGCCTACTGATCGTGTTCGGGCATAAATCAACTGTGCCAGCAGTGATTACAAGGTGGATCAATGTGTCAGAATATTGACACAAATCCCTTTGGTCTTAATTAGTGTATATCCACTATTGGAATGGTAGGCAAAAAGTCCCAATGGTGCATCTCTTAGAAACTTACTAAATGTTCCAAGATCATGTTGAGTCTATATGGTACTACTGTTTATATGGTACCATTTAAGTAATAACATTATGGTGTTAGAACTCCATAATTATTATACTTCATGATATCATAATATCTAATGTTTAAGAAACAGGCTTCCACTATTGACCCTTTGTCAAAAAGGTCTCTCTATATAGCTGCACGCGTTTAAACATAAAGGAGGATTTACCTTAGCAAATTAGGGCTCATATGTCCTGATATCCTTAATTGTCTACGTGTGGTGCATCCATGTGAAAGTATATGCTCAGAGTATATAGGGATGTCCTGATTCTTAACTATTTGGGCAAATTGGAAAAATAAAGAGGTACACCATTAGGAGTATAAGTATTAATACTGAGTGGTTGTGGGGAACGATATCTAGGATCAGCCATAAGGTATAGTAAGGTACAAACCAGTGGGATCTATGCAAACTATTTAATATGAAAAAATTAAAAAACTTTAATTAGTTATTTACATATAAACATATTTACCGACCGCATACAATCAAGTAGAATAGGTCGGTACATTCTCTTTTTTTTTTTTTTTTATGTAAAAGTAAGGGGAACTTCTTTATGGGATAGTTGAGAAACAGCCATGTTGCAAGGTATACCATACAATGATTTATATGTAGTGAGGAGAAAGGGTAGAGAATGAAGGCAAGCTCCTACTCAGCATGCTCATCAGTTGATGAGCATGCTGAGTAGGAGCTTGCCTTCATTCTCTACCCTTTCTCCTCACTACATATAAATCATTGTATGGTATACCTTGCAACATGGCTGTTTCTAAACTATCCCATAAAGAAGTTCCCCTTACTTTTGGTTACTGATGTGGTTGTAGTCCCAAAGATGAGCTGTGGGCTTACATCCCTAGCTGTGAGTTACTTGGAAACAAAAATATGCACAGCAGTGTCCTAACTTGGAAATCTCTGCAAGGAGCAGCAACAGATTGTTGGACAATGTTGCTTCTTCCTTCTGATGTTCCCATTATTACTGCTGTAGATCTACAGTCTTTGTCAAGTCTTATGTTCCTAAATGATCCTTCTCCCTGAAAGCAACAACTTATTGGATTTCATAATGCATTATGAAACATTGACAGCCTCAAAGAATGTACTTTGTGAGCCTTGACTATTGCTTTCAGGAAGAAAGTCCTTTATATGAGTGTTAAGTTCTCACAAGCAGATCTAAAGTATTTCCTGACCCCTCTAGTTTGTGACATGGCAGTTTACATCATCATGTATGGTATGAGGATTCTTAAAGATCATTGTGAACAGAACTTATTATTTGAGTCCCAAAGATTATTTTACAAAATCAATGCATTTTTTTGTTGGCAGCTCTCCTATTGTGCCCTCTTCCTCACCGGAAACTGTGCTCTGGAGCCAGGCAGAGCTGAATAATATTAAAGCGGGGCTGCGGTTATTCTGAAGGCTTGTGTTCATTTCTGTTACCAATGAAAATAATGTATTTTGGGAGAACATCCAAGGCTACATACACAACTGATCATTCCAAAACCAAGAGAGAAACTGAGCTGTCTCTTGGACTTTGACTTAGGTGGATTCAAGTTATTTGACAATCTTGGGGGGAAAAAAATCTGACAAAACGGAGTCCCCTTAATTGTAGGGCCTTCCCTTCTCCTCCACTCTAGCGTGTTTATTTTTTTTGTACATTTAATAAAAAATAAAATCTTAATATGGCTGGCTGTAATTATTTATTTATTTATTATTTTTTTTGAAGAGTAACTCCAAGCTTCCTTGATTTAAAGTGGTCATGGTGCTTGGAGTATGTATGTTCAGTGCTTCTGTATGAAATGCTGCACATGCAGAGTTGAAGAACTACCTCTGGTAGTGTCATTAGCCAGCCTGGAAAAGGTTTCTGGACTGGCTATTGTCGATTGTCACTGTGCTTATTGTATTTCTCTTATCAGCTTGTTGGTGACAAAAGAACAATTGTGTGTCACCTGCTCAGTCTCACTTTTACAGTCTGTCTTCAATATTTCTTCCTTCCACTTTGTCAATCTGCCAAATGAAATTTTGATTTAAACATGAATTTTAGGGTCCCCTATGACATTACTAATAGAAAAACCATGTATTCGCACATCTATTTTCCATTATGTTGCTTATTACTTTCTCATATGTAACAGGCCAAGCCACAATATTAAAACTACAGACTGGCAAAGTGAATAACATTGATTATATTGGTACAATGGCACATGTAAAGTGGTGGGATATATTAGGCAGCAAGTGAACAGTCCGTTCTTGAATTTCATTTGTTGGAAACAGATGAAATTGGCAAGCAAAATGATCTGAGTGACTTTTATAAGGACCAAATATTGATGTATAGACAACTGGGTCAGAGTCTCTTCAAAATGGCAAGTTTTGTGGGGTGTTCACGGTATGCAGTAGTTTGTACCTACCAAAAGTGGTACATGAATGGACAACCGATTAACTGGTTTCGGGGTTAAGGGTGCCCAAGGCTCATTGATGCACGTGGGGAGGCTAGCCCTTCTGGTTTGATCACACAAATGAGCTACTCTAGCTCAAATTGCTGAAAAACTTGATACTGGCCATGATAGAAATGATTTTTAGAACACATAGTGCATCACAATTTCCTGCGTGCTGGGCCTACTGATTAGGGGACCAATGAAGACCCTTGTCCACCGCCGAAAGCACTTTCAATGGGAATGGTGAGCATTAGAACTGGACCATGGAGCCTGGTCTGATGAATCACGGTTTCTTTTAGATCAGGTGGGTGAGTGTCATTTTCCTGGGGAAAAGAGGGTAGCAGGGAAGAAGTCAGGCAAGCAGACGCAGTGTTATGCTCTTGGCAATGTTCTGCTGGGAATTGGGTTCTGGCATTCATGTGGATGTTACTTTAACACACACCCCATACCTAGAGATTGCTGCAGATCACATACACCCCTTCACGGCAGATGTTCCCTGGTGGCAGCGGGCTCTTTCAGCAGGGTAATGGACCCTGCCACACTGTAAAAATTGTTCGGAAATGGTTTGAGGAATGTGACAAAAAGTCCAATGTGTGCTTTGACCTCCAAATTCCTCAGATCTTCATCACTGAGAGTCTGTGTAATGTGCTGGAAAAACAAATTCAATGAAACTTTGGATATGTCAAGTGTATCCTCCTCTATTTATTTTGTATATAATAAAATAAGTAAAGATTTCAGAAGAAAGGTGCACTTTCATAAAGTAAACTTTTTACACACCCCCTGGCTGTCAGAAACTAGCTTTTTTTGGTGGTTTAGCTTACTGCCCAGAGTACCTGCCTTACAAAGATTTCTCATTGAGCTTCATTGGCAAGTCTGTGATTGGACAGCCACAGAAAGACTTGGCGGAGGTAGCGCTTACAGAGGCGTTTTACGGAGATCTGCAGCTTTTACAAGCAGTTTTTAGATATACCGCAATGAAAAAAATCATGTTTTCATTTGAGGTATATCAAGTGATTTTATGCATTATGCATTTTTGTAGTTAGACAGTGTCTAACTACGGCAAGGGTGCATAATTTATTATTGCACTATGGAATGTTGTCCTTTAATGTAATTTGTGTAGTGCATTAAGGACCTACCGACCTGGCAGAGATGGTATTGTCAATGTCAAAAGGGGTTAATTTGATTGTATGGAGGTCAGGAGGTAAGATCTTTTTGAAGCTGGGACCCCCAACACAGGTCAGATGACAGGGCGCAGTTTGAATGACATAGGGATGTGACAAGGATTTTACCATATGGATGTGAATTAATAAAGGCCCTGCAAGGTGTGGTTCTACACTTGCAAAAGTCTGAATTTATCTTCATCCATTTGGCATGTACCTTGTAATTGATGAGGCAATCTCTTTTGATATGTTAATGGCCATTAGCCTTGTTCCCGTATCATATCCAAAGGAAGGAAAAAAACATTCATATTTACCCCACAGAAAAATAATTAAGCCTCAGTTTTTGTTATATTTGGAATGTGACAAGCGCCATCTTCTAAACAAGCTCAAACACGAGTGGTATGGCTAGACCATGGGGGAGGGTATTGTGATGTCCGCCATGTTGGGTCGCGAGTAAGGAATGTGTATATGGATTGGGGAAAATAATGAATTCATAGATGCAATTATTATTTTTGTGGCAGGTACATAAGAGCAGATACAGCCAGTGTTTCCATTTGGATTGAGGTTGGTCTGGAACAAATGAGGTGGTCACTTATTTCTATAGGTACGCCTTAATGCCACACCTGGGCAAGACTTGATAATTCACAGGGTATATATCCAATGATTTGGAGAGGTGTTGGTATACTTGCTTGGGGCCAAGATCTAATTTTGAGTAAATAACCATCATCCTTCCTTGCCAGAGCCCCTCTGGGCAGAGGTTTTACTTTGAAAACTTAAGTGAGTAATCAGGACTTGTGTTGTTTTATCCTTTTTATTTGTATCTGTTGTTGATGTAAATAATTTGTTTATCATCTATTTTTTGTATGCACTGACACTATTCTTTTTTTGCTCATAATAAATATTCCTTTATTAGGTTTTGCCTTTGTCTGGTAAAAGAATCACGTTACCTGAAGAGACTAATTAGTATTTTGCAATTACATAGATATTGTGCGAAGTAATATTTGGTGGGTTTTTACTATATATTTAGCTGGTGGACCAAGGCCCCCCATTTATAAATGGTCTTGGTGGTGGCAGCGTTAAAATAGTAATAGTTATAGGGTCCCTCTGGGACTGAGACAAAAACCTTGGGTAGACTGGCGCCGACACCCTTCGCCCTGATGACCCTAACCTACTACCTTTCCTCTATCTCTTCCTATCTCTCTCTTCCCTAGGTCCACTAGTTATGGGGAAAGTGGAACAACCCCAAAGTTCCTAGAAGCAAATCACTTAGTTAAAACATTATACTGTTATAAAATAAGAAAACGGCATACTGCCAAACTGGACTACCGGCCATTTCCTTAACTAAGAGGAACTAAAACCTGGATTAAATATTTAGCATCGAGCCACATGTAACGCAAGATTGGCATGGTTTATTATGTGCTGAGCGAAAATAGTATACGTCTTTCTCCAGCACTATTCACTCATACTTGACTGATTCTGGAAGGGCCCCTTTGGGACAGAGAACACTTGGGTTGACTGGCACCAGCAGCTTATGCCCTGATGACCCCATTCTAATACTTTTCCCCTATCCTCATCTTTTTCTATTTTTCTACTCACTCTTTCCACTAGTTATTGGGACTGTGGAACAGCCCCAAAGTTGAAAATTACGTTGTGAAAACATTATAACATTGTAGATGAGAAGATGAAGGCATAATGACAAACTGGACTACCGACCAACTCACCAGGAACTACACCTGGATTAAACACTGAGCATCGTGCCTTACGTAATGCAATACTGGCAATGTCTATTGTATGCTTTGAAAATGTCATATGCCTTTGTCTTTGCTTTGTTTTTCTTTCAAAAATAAAGTACTCAAAAAAAATAAATAGTGATAATTATATTATGTTTAAGTGTGGGCGGTGTTAAGGGGGATTTTGGCATTCTTTCCAGTATAGTGCAGACAAATAGTGAACTTTAACCCTTTCACCACCACAACTACGGATACAACAAAGAACTCGAGTGAAGAGAGAAAACTCGGGGGGGCGGAGCTTGCTACCGCACGGCACCAGACGCCATTTTCACTAACTCCCGACAAAACTATCTAATCTGGGCAATATCCTAGAAACTGGCACCCATCCAGGCTTACCAACCACACAGCCAGAACCAGCAAGATAAGAGGCACCGATAGATGCCGTTTTTACAACCCCAAAAGCTGCCTAAGCGGAAGCACAAATCCAGGGCCTACCTCACACCCGCGATCCGGGACCTGGAGGAACTCCTGCTTTGGCCGCGGACCGAGAGAGAGGGGCTTCCACCAACCCCCTCACCAACCGAAACACCAGCTCACTTGCCGACAATGGGGCACAGATCCCAGAAACCAGCGGCAGATGGCAGAGACATAAGCGCGCTGCTGCAACGCCCGGCGCAGCCACGTCCTGCACCCATACCCGCGGGAGATGAGGGCGAAACAAACCACACTCCTCACCCAGTGCAGGGGAGGCCAGAGACCCCTTAGACCACGCAGACAGCACTGATACAGCAGCCTGAATCCCATGCCGATGCTGCACCAGCCACCAAGGGAGATCTAAAACTCCTGTTCGCTGACATACACAAGCTCTTGGCAGCCGACACTGCCCTCCTCAAGACAGAGGTGCAAGCGGCCACGGAACGGGTAAAAGCTGTAGAACAAGACGTGGTGGAGGTCCAAACACACCTAACAACGCTGGATGAACAGGTACAAAATATACAGCATCACCAAAAACTCATGGCACTCAAAATGGCCACCATAGAGGATCGACAAAGGCGCACACACATAAAAATTAGGGGGATTCCGGGAGCCGACCGAGCTGGTGCATGGCCGCGTTCTAAATCGGCTCCGGCGGCACCAGACACACACCCAACCAGATCGGGCCACAAAACGAAGGATGGGTCACCCAAAACGAGCGGCATCTTCCCAGCAAGCCTCCAGCAAAACCCCATCGGGTAAATCAAGCGCTTTCACTAAGTATTTCCGCGACCGGGCGGATAGTAATGCGGGCGCACTAGGCCCCAATATGGCGGCAGACTCCTCACCTCTTTGTATGTCCCCCTCCAGCCCAGCAGACTCGGAAATTTCGGGC